TTGATAAGATTTTTTTTGTTTGGATTGATTTTGATGATTTCCTAAGTAATGTCTCGATTGCAAGATCATCGCAATCTTGACGTGGAATTATGCTTTGTATATTGAGGAGTCGAAAATAATTTTTTTCTGGTAGGAAAAATTGTAGACATTTCCTCAATCGCATCATTCTTCAAAGGTTTCGATTGTATGGTATTCCATACTAAGGCAGCAAAGATATATATTTCGAAAGATCGTTTTGGCCACTCAGGTTTTTTTCCTTAGTTACAGGTTTTCACAAACTCTGGCTTTGAAGAAACTTTCTTGTAGAGTGTTGATTGCATTGCATCGACATTAGAAGTATTAAAATAGTCCAAAATTTATTAATTTTTCACTAAAATCACTTTGGCAAATTATTTCAACCTCTTGTTCCTCTTTTCTTTACCAACCTTTTATATTGCAGAACCCTTCAGAATCAAAAAATGCATCGGCTTTAACATTTCCTTTTTTCCACTAAATTTAACAAGATGTTTAGTTCCAAAATCATAAGATGTCATATATGTAGGTTACAGAGTATTTTTTAACCCTATATAACAATTCAATTCATTGCCATAAAAATATTGACGTTCATATAAGTAAAAATTATGAGTTTTGATTCCAGCATTCAATTACCCAATTCTTTCTTCACATTTCCTTCTCATTTCTATTTCTTTTTTTATTATAAAGTTCACTTTTTTCTCTCAAATTATTTTGTAAGCTTCTTATGGAGTTTCAAGTATTTTACCATAACTAGTACTTTATAGGTATCTTGGTAAAATTTTTTTGTGTAGTTTGATTTTGATGATTTCCTAAGTAATGTCTCGATTGCAAGATCATCGCAATTTTGACGTGGAATTATGCTTTGTATATTGAGGAGTCGAAAATAATTTTTTTCTGGTAGGAAAAATTGTAGACATTTCCTCAATCGCATAATTCTTCAAAGGTTTCGATTGTATGGTATTCCATACTAAGGCAGCAAAGATATATGTTTGGAAAGATCGTTTTGGCCACTCAGGTTTTTTTCCTTAATTAAAGATTTTCACAACCTCTGGCTTTGAAGAAACTTTCTTGTAGAGTGTTGATTGTATTGCATCGACATTAGAAGTATTAAAATAGTCCAAAATTTATTAATTTTTCATTAAAATCATTTTGGCAAATTATTGTTGTTCCTCTTTTCTTTACCAACCTTTTATATTACAGAACCCTTCAGAATCTCACATCAACTCCAAAAAATGCATCGGCTTTAACATTTCCTTTTTTCCACTAAATTTAACAAGATGTTTAGTTCCAAGATCATAAGATGTCATATATGTAGGTTACAGAGTATTTTTTAACCCTATATAACATTTCAATTCATTGCCATAAAAATATTGATGTTCATATAAGTAAAAATTGTGAGTTTTGATTCAATTACCCAATTCTTTCTTTACATTTCCTTCTCATTTCTATTTCGTAGTTATTATTTTGTTAATTATTTTGTAGTTTTCTTTCGTGTCCGCGGCAAAACCGCTAAGAAAATGTTATTTAGTAAACGTTCGTTTCGCGGAAAACGTAGAGGTTAATTGGCGACAATTAGGTTTGGTTCTCACAGTAATGAGACGAACAATGAGAAGGCGTGCTGATTGTACATCGCCAGGTAAAATAAGCGAAGGACAACGCACAACATTTTCTTCTACATTCAATTTTATATTCAACCATCTGCCATCAAAAACCAGTAACGTAATAACGGTTTCTTCAAATAGCAATCAAGACAAGTTATAGGAGCAGACCTTCTGCAATCGGCCATTTTTTCATTCTTTCATTCTCATTTGGTTCGTTGTAGCCTTTGTGAATATTTGGTGAAGACACTCCGGACCAACCCATTTCCGCTCCGAGGTTTGCTCAATGGCGAGCAAACACCTTCCACATACTTCCACATTAAAAACGTATATCGTCGCGTATTTTCTTCGTTGGTGCGCTCACGTGCTGCTGTAATACGAGAAGAGAACAACGGCGCACACAAAAGGGGCACGAGGGTCGATGAAACACCCTTCTGCTTCCGAAGGGAGGAAACGAACATAAGTGGCATAGAGGAGACATCATGAACACGTGCTATATACCAATTGTGGCTTCTTATGCAGTCTCAAGTATTTTACCATAACTAGATATCTTGATAAGATTTAATTTTTTTTGTTTGATTTGATTTTGATGATTTCCTAAGTATAATGACAAATTCTATAGAACTCTATTGGGTTGGGTTTATTTCAGGGTATTGTTTGTTTAGGTTTAGTTGAACGGGTTTAAGGTCAGTCCGCCTTTGAATATGGCCTAACATTCCGGTATTATTTATGTTTCAAACTAATATTTGGTTAACAAATTTCCACCGAGTCATTGTTAAAATAAAAACTTTAACAAATTTAAAGACAACAACGTTAAGCTATTTTAAATTACATCTTGTTTGTCAATTTGACGCATTTAATTTTTGCGTCTTCGCAGGATGCCGAAGAAATAATATTCCCTTTTGACGCAAAGATTACCTCCCAACTTAGTAAATAGATTCACCAATTTACAATCTCGACAGGAAGTAATCCAACGTTTCGTAATGCGCAACTTGACGACTTCCCGCCGAAGAAATGTTAATAAAATGTCGAAGGAAGTCGAAATTAACAACTAAATAATCCCGTTCTCCGCGTCGCGGCGTGGAAATGTTTATAAAATGCACTAACCTTTAAACACCAAAGCCATAGATCGACGGCATAAGACTCTAAAATGTAAATGGATGAATCACACACGTTCACTTTTGTCGTTGTACACACCCTTTGAAAACTAATTCGTTGTCGTCGTTAGCACTGTTGCGATTACACAACCAACAATTTTCTTTGGCGTGCGTCATCTAATTGTTGTTAATCCGGAGAGAAAAAAAATCATTATAAAAACGAATACAAAAATAAAATCTGCGAAGTCTACAACGATATATGTTTGAATCAGAAAAGATGAAAACACAACTGTCGACGGCCCTGTTCTTTTTCTTGTTTGATGGGGGGCAAAACGCGCATTTGCCGCAATAGTAGAGAGTCAATTCATTGTTGGAAACGAAGCATGTCCGAAAAAGAGGAACAACAGGTTGTTGCAAAGTGTGCAATACCGGCCAAGAACAGTGAAACACTCTTTATCTCGCTTTCACTATCGGAACCATCCTCTATAACAGTGTGTGTGTATGTAATCTTTTTAAGTGTACCTACATCTACTATCTTTCAAATAGTTTTCTTTTAGGTACACTAACATAAGCAAAACTTATAAATTTAAAAGAACTATATTTTGCGAAGAGTTTTCAAGCTCTGATTGTTTCTGGCATATATGTTTTTATAATTGCTAATTGTTTATTGTTAGCCCAATACGGTCAGTTTTTTACGTCATGTGAGCTCCGTTGGGCGTAAAGTCAAGGTTGAGATGCACTGATTCGCGCTTGGTTGTTGTGAAGCTCGATTTTGAAATCGACTGGTTTAGAAATTGAATAAAGTTTGAGTGAGTTTCGATTTCAAGATCACTATGAAAACTAGGTTAGGGTTGAGTTATTATTACTTGATTATGTTGCTTCTGTATCAATACTTGTATATATAGTAAAAACTCGATATCATAGATTAATACAGAGAAAAGGAGTGTCTGTTAATTATTCTATTTCTAGGTATAGTGTTAGTTCTACTTTTAGTTCAATAAAAATATACAACAATCTGGCACTGAATAACAACTAATACTAGAGCTAACCCTAGCACTAGAACTAACACTAAACCTAGAACTAGAATCATTCGGGTTTAGCCGTACGTCTCTTAAGACGGCTAAACCCGAATGTTTCTAGTTATAGGTGTAGTGTTAGTTCTAGTTTTACATTAGCACTAGAACTAACACAAGACCAAGAACTAGAATCATTCGGGTTTAGCCGTCTTGAGAGACGTGCGGCTAAATCCGAATGCTTCTAGTTCTAGGTCTAATTTTAGTTCCAGTTTTGAACTAGTGCTATAACTAACATAAGACCTAGAACTAGAATCATTCAGCTTTAGTTGTATTGAGAGATGCGTGGCTAAATCCGAATGTTTCTAGATCTAGGTCTAGTGTTAGTTCTAGTTTTGCACTAGCACTAGAACTAACACTAAACCTAGAACTAGAATCAATCGGGTTTAGCCATACGTCTCTTCAGATGGCTAAACCCGAATGTTTCTAGTTCTTGGTTTAGTGTTAGTTCTACTTTTACTTCAATAAAAATATACAATAATCTAGCGCTTAGGGAATAACCCGAGTTTTGATTCTATCTATTGTATCAAAATAGATAATATTAATAGTATGACATAAAAATATTTTGTCCATTATATGCAAAGTTCGTTCTAATGAGGTCCATTATATTGAGGTTGTACTGTATTAATCTCCATAAACACCCTCCGAAACATGTTACCCGGCCATAAAGATAAGCTAATTATCACCGGAAACAAAAAATGAAAACTGTCAAAAACAAAATCTCAGCTGTGATATTTAGCTCTAATAACCCAGATAAGTACAGAAACATCTGTTCGGTATAAACACAAAACGATAAAGTGAATTTTCCCATTTATTTGATGAAAAATGTTTTTTAATGAAGGAAGTTGAAAATGAAAATGTAAATTGTTTAAGTCATAGTAAGGAAGAAAGCGAATCCTCCTCCCTGGTTATTTGGAAAAACGTAACAAAGAGGACACGCGACTGTGGCGTAGATTGCGAAAACGCGCAAATAATAACGGTTTTGCTGGTCGTTTTGCGGGAGGACGTATAATTTTAGGTATAACATATTAACCTAGATGAGGCAACGCCGCGAGCATCTCACCGTGACCACAGCAGTACCCACTCTGACGCAAGGCAATCACGCACATGATAAAAATCTTGCTATTATGCATTGTATGTACTCTAAACTCAACGGGGAGCCTTTTCTTTTGAACGAGATAAATAGTAAGTGAGATAAAATTCATTGATAGACTTACCCTCGAGGAAATTGTTGTTGTTGGCTGCTGGAGATGGCGTGTGCGTTGACGCCGGCGTCACGATCTTCCGGTCGTCTTCTGACATTAAAGGTGCCTGCGTGTAATCCATAAAGACACCTAATTCCGGAACGCATATGTTCTCGTACATTGCTGAGATGTTTCCCGATGTTAAAACCACTCGTTCTTTTTCCACATCTACAAGAAATTAAAAAAAAAATTATTAAAAAAAAAGTTAATGAATAGAAAAGGTTAAAATGGTTAAGTCATCAAGAGGACAATAGGTTCTTAATTAAAACGATTCCTCTTTTGAACAGGAAGTGGAGTAAATGGAGGAATTTGACTTGCCTTTTTGTAACAGTTCGAGATGTTCCCAAAGGATATCTCCGACGAAAGCGGGCGCCCTCTGCTGGAAGGTCTCTTTTCCCATTGCACAAATGTCCTTTCCGCGCATCTCGAATTGTTCCAGATTTATACCACCTAATGAGAATTCTTTCATAGCCCAACGAAGCCAATGAGCGACGTGATCTTCTGTCCATTGACGTGGGTCTGCAAATAAAAAATATATAAAAATTAGTACATTTTTTTTGTAAATTTGTTGTCTGGAGACTGTCTGTATTTGTACAAAAATCCAAGACAATGGGTCGGTTTCTTTTTACACCTGCCAAACTAAATAGGACCTCGTTAACGTCCCCAGATGACAAACAGGGCCCGATTCGCCGCCCAGTTCTTATTATTTGCTTCCCGATAAGAAATTTGCCATCTGCAAACCGCTCTAATGGGAAAACTAAATTTTCAATAAAATTTCTTTAGATAGCGGTCTCGTCTAATAAGGAAATTGCGCCCGCCCTCGCAATTCTGAAATCGATTTCCCGTCGCGTCTAACGTCGTCTTCTCGACGTGTGAGAAGATTTTCTCGCGAAATCGTTTCCTTTTCCGTCGTTTTCACCAGATTCTTGTTGGAATCTAAAAATCTGCATATTTGACGGTTGTTGTTAGACTCGTGGCCGATTTCTTTAAACGTATGCCGTCCGTTGCGGCACGTCCTCCAATTTACAGGTGTACCAGCCCGTGTTTACCAAGATCTACACTTATTGGGCATACAAGAATAGTGGACGAACATGGAGACCATGAGGTGACTAACAATTTCCAGTTCGCTTTTAACGTTCCGTGTTCTCAATGGAATATTCAATTAGTCTACTAGTTGAGTTTTCGCGTTACGTTCAGTTACCGTAGCGTTAAAATGTCTAAACTCATCGAATTACTTTTATTATACATTCATTTTCAATTCAAATTGTGTTGTTATACAATTTTATGAAATGACGTAATCGTGTTTTTTGAGGTACGTGATATACGATAACAAATCGTATCAACGGCCGCTACACGTACCAACACAATTGCTTATTGACCCACATTATGGTAGTCGGCTAGCGATTTATCGTCACTAAATATCTCATCCATGCGCGTCCACAGTCCAAATACACACTCCAACACGGCCGTTGATTTGCGTTTTAGTGCCGTCGTCGTTTCGCAAAAACGGTTGCAATATATCGGCAGCGTATATAAAACGTCTCTCTCTGTGTGTGTGTCTGTCTGCCTGCCTGTGTCCATTGTACGCCGAGTAGGTAATTAGAGATTTTTACTTTGATACCGACGCCACGGTCTGATGCCCCCGAATCGACGACGCACCAACCGGCGGACGGCAAAATTCTCTGCAGAGGGCATATATGTCACACAGTTCTTTGTTCGTTTTATACATTCCTACTACTACCTGTACACAGTTTTCAACGTTCCCACTCTGACGATTTTATTAATAATTCGTTCGTTCTGAGGGATGATACTTTTCCCCTATATGATCTTTTAGATTAATGAAAATACCTTAAATATTAATTAAAAAAAATGAAATAATATCCTTCTTTTAACACATATGTGTCTCTTTATCTGTAGTTTATATTAATAGAGTCTAACAAAGTTGCACCCTTTTTAACTATTCCATAAACTTGGCATATTTGCACCTACGAAGACAAGTAGATAACTCAAGTTGGTTACTGCAGAAAAACTTACTTATTATGAACCCAGGTGGCATATTTTCTTAGATTACTATAAATGTTGTGGTCAACAGAATTTAGCAAATCTGCTTAGAAGACATTTTGGGCTTACTTATTGAGAAAGGAACGCCATGCAACATTGAAAAAGTAACCGCTAATATTTTGACACTAGGCGGAATTAGACAAAGAGAATCATACAATTTTGGCTATAGAATGAGCAATTATACAGTCATTATGTTATGCAGATGATACAACAATCATGGCACAAATGGCAAATTGATCCGCAAAGACATTTCTTTACATTCTATATATTCAAGTAACTCTACAATTAAACATAACTGTATCCTTCTTTTAACATATATCCACATTAATGTTCTCATAAACAGACACTATTGTCTGTTCCATATCGCTGTCTAGTCATAAATCAATGATGCAAGTGTAAACATATCTCTTCGATCTGTAGCCAACAACTGTTCTCATATGTGTCTCTTTATCTGTAGTCTATATTAATAGAGTCTAACAAAGTTGCACTCTTTTTAACTACTCCACAAACTCGTCATATTTGCACCGACGAAGACAAGCATATTTTCTTAGATTACTATAAATGTTGTAGTCAATAGAATTTACCAAATCTGCTTAGAAGACATTTTGAGCTTTATTGAGAAAGGAACGCCATGCAACATTGTAAAAGTAGATCCAAATCCTAAACACCAGTATGACAAAGATAAAAGCAGACAAGTGCGGAATTAGACAAAGAGAATCATATAATTTAGGCTATAGAATGAGTAAGGATAAAGTATAAAGATGTAGCAATCATGGCAGAATCGACAAATTAATCTGCAAAAACATGTCTTTATATTCTCTATATTTACCTAACTCTACCACCGAACGTAACTGTATCCATCGATAAAACAATAGTCATAACAATCGCAAAAGAACTAATTAGATGCAAACTTGTGGTAGGAGATCAGTCCATCGAACAAGTCCGTTAATTCAAATATCTTGGACTAGATATCTCTAACAGTCATGACCATGTAAAAAACTTTTAAGAAACCAGACTAATAACGTGACATCTCTATCAAAATGGTTATGAGAGATCGTTTGTACAAATCAATACATACGAATGGAGAGCCAGATCAGAATTTATAAAACTTGAGTAAGGCTCTTCATGTCATACAGAATAGTGACTTACGAAGATACGAGCAAAACTAAGTAAGCTTAGAGTTGTTGAAACGAAATCGTGGGTAAGACTGGAAGAGACCGGATAAGAAATATAGATATCAAGGAAAGACCACCGAAAAGATGTAAGGACAGATGAAAGTCCACATTACAAGGCACATTTCGATAAGGAATTCGGAATTTATCAGACCAACGGGTTTAAAACAAGTAGATGCAGAATTAGAAGACTAAAGATGTTGGAATCTCTGACAATTATGAAACCTTTGTGCATATCATTTGAATTTAGGAATGAAATAGGTCAAGATCTATCATAAGTTCCAAATTTTTGCTTTTTTGATGCAATTGAATTAGGTTGAAATAATTTAATGATGACAAAAATGTTGCGGGTTCGCAAAAACAGAAATTTTGCTTATTATTTCTGCTTTATGTTAATTATAAGTACTATAACTTGAGTTTAACAACTTTTAATGGTAATCCATAAAGTTTAAAGTGCTCAAAAACTCTTGCAAGTTCCTGATTACAGCATGAAAGAAGTCATCAATAGTTGAGCTGTATACATTGAGATTATCTTAATGGAGATTATATCAATTTATACAGCTCAACTATTAATTAATAAAGGTTAATGAAGAGATTACCTTATTGGATAGAACACTAGCTTGGGGTGCAACCCGAGTTATAAGAAACACATTTCAAATAATGTCAAAGAGCTAATTATACATATTCAACAATTTCAAAATTTCTGCCAAACTCAGAAGACCTGCAACCGAGTTGTTACAGGGAGGATAAGTAACAACATTTTATGCATATCAATATGCCAAAAAGAATTTGGCCAAAGCTTCTACACCTTGTCAGAATTATTTAGAATTATTTAATAACATTTACACATCAAGATTTTCGAACCCAACACCTTGAAAAATTGTCTCTTAATATGGCCCAAATTTCATGTCATCAGAATGAGGCAAGTAGGCAACAAACTTTGGAATAAAACAGCAACATTTCGTCCCACATTGAAGCTAATATGACTTTTTAATGTATTTTAGTCATTTATCGGCAAAAGTTAGATAAAATTTCTATTCTAATTTGGATCCTCTACACCCCGCAAACCATGAAGTCTTCTAGATGGGAACCTGACCAAATCCGAGAAAATGTTGGAAACATTTGAAAACATCGATTCAAGATGATTTTATTAATAACCTTGACAATCCCATACAAGTGTCTCAAACATATATGGTGTAATAACTTCACTTCAGTCATCTTAGTCTAATAAGTTCAACGATTATGGTCTTATCTCCATTGTCTTTGTTGACTTTGAAGTCATATGACATTTTTTACAATATTTATTTATATTTAAGACAAATCTTTAATTAACATATCAATATGTTAATAACACTAAATAAACAAACATGGAATTAGCCTTCAATGGTCTCTAATTTTTAATTAAATATGCTGGTCGTTGGATTGTATCGTTGAAAAACGATTAAAATATTAATATTCAAAAAAGTCTTTGAACCTTGTGTATTGTTTATTATACTATTTATTTACATCATACCGCCCTGAAGGTATTCTATAGAAATGGTGATTCCCAAGGCTAATTATCCGATTGTACAAATTCCAACAATAATTTATCTTTTACTTTCCATGGGGCGCTTTTATCTTTAACTTTTTAACCTTTTTTTTATGCTTAACAGGCCGGATGTTTGACATGGATCGGTGAAAGTCAATTTTTATTTTATTGTACTCATTCAAATCCGACAACGTGTGACGATTCAGCATCCGCTGTTGATGGTTGGGAATAGAACTTACCTTTGGTAATGTTTAATCGTATCTGTTCTTTTTCCCAAGATGCAAAAGAAGCCTTTAAGGCTTCGGTCATCGTCTTATTGGTACCAGGAGTTAAGGGTGGTACCTGTGTTGGTATATCTGCAAATAAAAAAAATAAAGTAGAAACACAAAAATTTAAAAAAAAAATAATTATAGTTCATTCGAAAAACATTGACTTGGTTACAATCCGAAGAACAGATATAACAACAATATGGCAGGTGAGTTATGGCGATGTGAGTGGCTGCATAAAAATTTACAGACGGCGATCGTTGTACGTGTTCCGAATGTTGAGGGCGAATGGCACAAGCCGAATCCTATAAAATTCTTCGGCCGTAGCGCTTTTGCGCATATAAATGACCGCGCTGAGGCATTCGCCAACGTCAACGAAGATGAACAATAATTATGTGCGTTGACACCAACCCACAGCCCGATGGAATCGCAAACGCGTTAAAAGGAAAACGGACGGACGTTGTCATCAAACACAGCAGGTAGTTTTCTTCGAGAAATTGATTTATTCGATGTTTCCAAGATTTCCAAGAACAACAAAAATTTCACAAAAAAAAAGATATATACCCAATAGGCACCTGCATCACAACGGTGTGTCTACGGGCACGTGCCATCTGCTCCGGTATTTGCTTTAAAACACCTGAAGAAAAGAAGGTCAAGGAGCCATTCTTAACTTACAAGACTTCATATTATAGTGATTATTAATAAGCAGGAATCGTATAAATAAGAAAAGCAATATATATAATTTGTATTTAAAAACATTTTTAATCATTTTACGATATCTTAAAAATATCTTCGCCTACGCAAGATTAACTCAATCCAGATGCTCTTCAAACAGGTGCTTATTGGATATTTACGATATTTTTTGCTCACATCTGCTTTAATTATCGAAAGTGACGTTTTTATGGAAGATTTATGTAATAAAAATGGGTTTATCTAAAATTTAATGATACAATATCTAGAGTTTAAATACAGAAAAACCTCGATTTGGACTAAAATTGCGTAAACCTCATAAAATCTTGGTTGCGTCTGAAGATGCACGACTAAACCCGAAAGTTTCTAGGTCTAGTATTAGTTCTTGTTGTGGTTATTATTCAGCGCTAGATTGTTGTATATTTTTCATTGAACTAAGTTTCGGGTTTAGCCGTGCGTCTTCAGACTTGTTACTTCAATAAAAATATACAAGAATCTAGTACTGAATAACAAATAAAACTAGAACTAACACTAAACCTAGAACTAGAAACATTCGGGTTTAGCCGTCTTAACCCTTTGTGCCCCAAGATGTCAAAAATTTTGAATCTTTCTGACAGAACTAAAACGCTATCAAATTACACTCAGTAAAGGCCTTTGAGATTGGAAAAATATTGAGAAAAGAAATGTTGAAATAAAACTTACATTTTCGTATAACCTAAAAGTGTCAAAAACGATGCTAATTTAAAAATTCCTGAAAGCCGTATTTATTGAAATTAAGAAATGAAACTTATTTTAAATTAAAGCTCAAAGGTTTCTCTTTAAAATGATGTATAATAATTGTTGGGTTGGATTGGAAAAATATTGAGAAAAGAAATGTTGAAATAAAATTTACATTTTCGTATAACCTAAAGTGTCAAAAAAGATGCTAATTTAAAAATTCCTGGAAGCTGTGTTTATTGAAATTAAGAAATGAAACTTATTTTAAATTAAAGCCCAAAGCTTTCTCTTTAAAATGATATATTATAATAGTTGGGTTGGATTGGAAAAATATTGAGAAAAGAAATGTTGAAATAAAATTTACATTTTCGTATAACCTAAAAATGTCAAAAAAGATGCGAATTTAAAAATTCCTGGAAGTTGTGTTTATTGAAATTAAGGAATGAAACTTATTCTAAATTGAAGCTTAAAGCTTTCTCTTTAAAATGATGTATAATAATTGTTGGGTTGGGTCGGAAAAATATTAAGAAAAAAAATGTTTAAACAAAACTTGTATTTTCGTATAACCTAAAAGTGTCAAAAAATATGCTAATTTGAAAATTTCTGGAAGCCGTATTTATTGAAATTAAGAAATGAAACTTATTCTAAATTAAAGCTCAAAGCTTTCTCTGTAAAATGATGTATAATAATTGTTGGGTTGGATCGGAAAAATATTAAGAAAAAAAAATGTTTAAACAAAACTTGTATTTTCGTATAACCTAAAAGTGTCAAAAAATATGCTGATTTGAAAATTTCTGGAAGCCGTATTTATTGAAATTAAGAAATGAAACTTATTCTAAATTAAAGCTCAAAGCTTTCTCTTTAAAATGATGTATAATAATTGTTGGGTTGGATCGGAAAAATATTAAGAAAAAATTTTTTTTAATCAAAACTTGGATTTTCAATGTGTCAAAAAAGATGCTAATTTAAAAATATTCATAATCAAAGTGTATAGTTTTAGGTGCGACAACATGTTGTCGACAACGTGTTGCTTGTTACATCTAAAATTAAATTAATGAGTTATTATAATAGTTTATTGTGAAGGAACTTTCAGATTTCGTTTCGATTTCCTGAAGATGACTGCCACACATTCGAAACCGGTAGAAATCTAATTTATGTACAATAAATATCATCGTTTAAGTGCAATATTTAGTTTCATTGATATATATTTTGATTATACACTTCTGCGTATTAATTCGTAGTATAGAGGTTTTACAGTAATAATAAAAAAAATGAATCGTAATAAAAATAATTTTTTTAATTCAAGGTTTTGTTTTGCAATAAATGTAATAACTTTGAATAAACGTCGCACGAGTTTTGCACAGTTGATTTGGACGCGTGGCGAGCTTTTACGATCGAAAAGGAGCACCTGGTACAAGGAGCGTGGTCCTATTCCTGGACGTGGTTGTATCGGAATTGATTCCACGCTAATTATCTAGCCCACTGAAATAATGTTCTCGGAACCGTTTCAGGTTGTACACCATGAGTTCTATAGCTTTACGGGCCGTGACAAACGAATCGATTTCGACCCGGCACCGTTGTATCAAATATCCAATATGCCCCAACGACGAATATAGTTCTTAGAAATTGTATTTACCAAAGATTTTTTTTTACATATTAAAAGAAAAAGATTTAAACTGATGTGGTACACATTCTATTTTTGGGTCGTCTTGAAAAATTACGGTAGCAATTTGGTTCTGTCATACCGAGTCTTTGGGGGGACTGTGTTCACGTGGATGATGCTGGGCAATTTGTGACTATGTGCTCGATAATTAGACGTTGCGTCGCTCAACGGCCGGATGCAGTAGCATCATTGGACGTAGCCCCGAGTAATGTCGATGCTGTTTGGAACCTTGATGTGCTCCACTTCCATTAATTTGAACGACCTCTATGTCCCTTTTTTTTTTGCTTTAATTTTGATCTTTTTCGAGCTCTTTGCGTGAGTTCAACTCACTAATTTTAAGTTAAATCTCATAATAATTATATACAGGATTGTTTTCAATAGAAAATTTTAAATTGTTAACTTTTCCTTTTTCAGTCATTTCGAGTTCTGAAATTTAACTTCCTGATTAAATGTTTGAGTGTTGTATTTCCAATTTGAGAATGGGAATCGTTAATTTTGGCAACTTCAAAAACAAGTTTTAAACCACCGCAACAACCTTAGACAACATCTTGAAGTATAAGACTTCATACATTATCTGTAATGTTTGCTTATACGAATTTTATATCAGCTCATAGAGTTTTGGCCAGAAATCTTCAACTACATCGCGATATAGATCGTCAAAATAGAAAGTAACAATATTACGACCAATACCTGAAATGTTTAAATAATTTGCAAACTTGCATTAATGAAGAAGCTTCTTGTCTTAATATAAAAGATGTGTTTTTCGACATCGTTTATTATTCTAGGCAACTTATTTTTAACGATTGACAAAATATTTGGGTTGAAAACTTTAAAAAAACTGTAACTTAACGTTTTTGCTTTAATTTTGATTTTTTTCGAGTTCTTTGCGTTTGCGTGAGTTCAACTCACTAATTTTAAGTTAAATCTCATAATAATTATATACAGGATTGTTATTAATTTTGGAACAATTTTCAAAAGAAAATTTAAAATTATTAGCTTTTTCTTTTTGAGTCATTTCGAGTTCTTTTCCATTGTTCAATGTTGAGAGAGAATAACAATGGTTATCCAGCAGGAAGTAACGTTTAACGTGGTCGAATTATTCTATTAAAATTATTCTCCCTAATTATGAGTTGTCAAGAGAACGTGGCTGAGGAGAGGAATGAAGAAGACCTCTCGAGAAACGACGAGCTCTTAATCATTTGGGACAGGGCTCGTGATTGGTGTGAATTGGTTAACTCGATTACCGGGATCGGTACACGACGAAATCTTGAGTAGGCCGAACAATTAGCTATATACGCGGTCGGGTTTTCAATTAGATAATTGCATTGTTTAGTGTCCAAGGGTCAATGGAGTAGCATAGGTAATAAAACGCCGCAACCGCAAAGAGGCTGATTCAAGAGATTGATGGAAACTACCAGAAACGATAGCGAGATCTCAAATTTCACAATTACAATTAAGTAATTGAAGTGATTCGTAATTCAATATAATCAATTCTGTTTCGATTACAATTAATTGAAGTTTGCTGTGATACAGCAACCGGCAAAAGGTAATAAAACAAAACCGCAAAGAATTTTATTTGATGGAATTTAAAACAATGAAAGGTTGTAAACCCAACAACTCTCATCTAATAGCTATCGTTAAAATTTTTCTTCTAGATGTTAAGTGCTCAAATAAAAGAGATAAGTTGATAACCAGATATCAATTAGAGTTTCAAAAAAATTAAACCGTAAAAGTACTCACTCAATAGAAGAATCGACGTCGTTTTTAACTTTTTTTTTCATATTGAAGCAACAGGTTCGTTGAGCTTTCATTCAGAGTCTCGGTTACGTAATGGATTACAAATCAACCGTTGGAAAAACGATCAATAATTCTCGACTACGACTAATTGAAATCGTATTTTTTTCAGTTTCGAGATGGAGAATTAAAATTTACTCTTTTTTACTTATAGAAAAAAAAATGTTTGAAAAAGTCGTTAAAATGTTACGTGGAGAAGAAGAGGAAGTTCTACGTCTAGTGGAAATAAACATTTTTCTGTTACTTGTCACGTGCCAGAGCAATTATAAAAATATGATTGTGGATAGGGTGAAGACAGAAACCAGATGGAAATGTTTGGGTTACGTTGTAAATATTCTTCACTACTTTAGTTATGTAGGTAGTTAGTTTCCGACTTATTGGTGGTAAAAAAAAAAGCAAAAACGTTAAAAGCTCATTTCTTGAATAATTTTTGAACCATATACAAGATAAATATTTCTTTTATTTAATTAAATTGAATGTGATAGGTACTAAATCCGTTCTATTTTGAGAAGAAACTAAAAGTTTTGACCTATTCAAGTTCAATCTTTTCTTGATATGAGGCAAGTGATTGACAAGAATTGAAATGTTGAAATGTACCCCAATTTGAAAATGGGAATAATTAATTTTGACAACTTCAAAATCAAATTTTAAACCACCACACCAACCTTAGACAACATCTTCAAGTATAAAACTTCATACATTATCCGTAACGTTTGCTAATACGAATTTTATATCAGCACATAGAGTGTTGGTCAGAAATCTTCAACTACATTACAACATCAAAATAGGTCGTCAAAATAGAAAGTAACAACATTACGACCAATACATGAAATGTTTAAACAATTTGCAAACTAGCATTGATGAAGAAGCTTTTTGTTAATAGTTGCTGGAACTTCTTTGAATCAAGAAGATCTCAATATTTGTTTTTTTTTACATAGTTTATTATTCTAAGTATTGACAAAATATTTGGGTTGAAAACTTTAAAAGAAAGTGCAGCTTGACGTTTTTGATTCAAAAGCTGGAGATTGTGTAAACAAATGATAAAGAGCATAATAGAATAATACATAATCATCAAGCAACAACAAAACAGTCCATATTTTGTTGCCAAAACGAAAATAAAAGGAAACCTTGAAAGAAAAACTCCTTAGTCATCATCCAGCTAGTGCACTACTAAAAATGAACCAGGTTTTGCATATATTTTGATATTTTTTGCATTTACACATACTTGCCTCATCAAAATTGCAAATTCTGCCAGCAGCTGTTGTTGATTGAATATTCTGTCAGCAAAAAAATCATAAAACGAGCTACAATGTTGCTTTAGGTTTATCTAGAGGTAAATTTTAAAAGCAAAAAAAAATATCGCAGCATCCCATTAAATTAAGCAGCTTTATCATTGAATAGATGACGAAACATAGTTGTTAGAAATTACCCTTGTAGAGAGAGATACAGAAATTTAACCTAAATCAAAGCTATCATGTTTTAATATTAGCTTGCATTGTTAAAGGCAATTTGGTGATATTTCTGCCACGGTAGCACTTATACATAATCTATTTCTGTTATTAAAATTATTAATTTTGATGATTGCAAAAAAATAGCAGCCATAGAAAGTTATGGAATCGTTCTGGAAACAAACTTTCGAATTTTTTGCTTAAAGAATGTTACTTTTGATCTTATTTCTGAAGAAAGATGCAACATGGCAAACGAAATACATTAATTGAAAAGCAATACCATATATTGTATGGATCAAAATAAGATATTTCCTGTTTTTTCTAAGATTATAACCCAGGTGTTAATTATCTTAAGTCAAGCATGAAGGAAATAAAACATAAATTTTGACAGTATGGGGAAGTGGTTTTATATATCTTAAACAATTTAAAGACTACCAACGTGGAATCATCAGATAGATCTTTGCAGGATGTTGAATTTTTGCATGAGGAAGTTAAAATTGACAATATTACTTGTGTATTTTACTGCCGTCTTTTTATAATCTATTTTGATCAGTTGAAAAAACTCCTGGGGAAAGTAAACGTCCTCATTAAATCTGTCAATCTTTCCTTAGCAACCTTTATCACACTCCCTTCTCGATCTTATTACGTCTTCTTAGGAGAGTATTCTTAACTACGATCTGATTTATTGTGCACGTTTCATATTATAACGCAATCTTAGGTGTATTGATATTTACTCTTCTTTGATGGAATAAAAATGAGTCGGTATCATGAACTTTATCTACAACTTCACCCAAACTTCGTAAAGAGGAATAAGAATTACATTACCAATTCGAAAAGGAAAATGATTGCATTTTAGTGATAAGAACAGTAGAAGCACAGATATATTATATAAAAATCTGAATGCGATTAGATTTAATGAAAAGTACACAAGAAATATGTTGTCAGTTTAACAACATTGGTATTGAAGAAAATGTATTACTTTGTACAGCGTTTGCCATGATTTTTATGTAATTGCAGTGAAATTGTATAAGCAGAATATGTCTTAAAAAATATGCTACATGATGATTTGGACACTCTTCAAGCATAATCTTCATCTAATCCTTTACGACATATTGTGTAATTAACAGACTTTGACTCATTAAAGTTACAGATGATATTAGGTATGTTTATGGAAAACATTGATTTGATTGATTACCCACAATTAAAATTTGTACGTGCCAGTTCCAATGTTATCTTTCTTGTTATTTTTTGAGTGTGCTTACTCTTTTGAAATCACAAATGATGTTGGGAGCAAAGTGGAAGGTCCGCTAATCTTATCAATTTTTGTAAAATATTACCGATACACTACTTTAATTATTGATAAATTCCCGGAATGAATAATTTAATGGTTGATGCTTCAAAATTTTAATCAAATTGATGCGATATATCCCAATGTTTCGTTATTTCTCCAGAACAAAATAGAATATTAGAAATGAAAGCGAATAATCTGAATACTGTATAAAAAGAAAAGCGACATAGTACAAGCAATGTAGAATATTTTGCTAAAAGTAATATATGCTCCCCTCTGGTCATAATGTACTTGATTTGTTAAAATTCTTCATTCAAATTGTAACTAGACATAACTCAAGTATGATTTAGAAAGTAAAATCACATGGAGAAAGCTTAAATTAATTAAGCTTATCATCTTAATAGATACTTGATTGAAATCCTCAATCGATAATCTATTTCGATATCATTAATACTTTTGCGTCATAAATGAATCGATGAATTTCTTTAAGATTCGTGTGGGTGAAGTGTCATATTGGAGTAATTCGATAAACAAGATTTCTTGCTAAACCGATAATACAGGATGGAGTCGTAATTAAGGTTGTTTATTTTCCATAGTATTTATTTTCTATTAAATTTTAATGTATATACATATAACCGGTTAAATATGTTGGAAGGAATCGTTTAATACCATAAATTAAAGCTTTTTTTATGTTAATGTCGATTAATTGTTTACAAATCAGTATGTAAAAAAGGATTTTTTTTAATCCTCAAAGTTCTGCCATCTAGTGGGTAGTAGATGCTCAAATCCTTTATAGTAATTCAATAATATACTAGGTTGATACAAATTAATTATAAATATGGGAAAGGAAACATTGTTTTTTTTCTTATAATAATTTAAAATTAAAATTAATTCATTTTTGAATAGTTCTTTTATGCTTAATAGTGTCTGTTACGTTCACTTTCTCACGAAAATAAGGCCAAGTTTGAATATTATCTCAGGATTTTGCAACGTTTTAACATTGACATTCAAAAAGAAAAACGGTATATTTTCATTTTATAAATATTTTTATAAATACACGAGATTATTACTTTGCGCTGATTACTTTTCTCAGAATTCCCGATATAGAATGATAAAGACTTTATAGATTGTATGAAGCTTCAACTCTATTTCTACATATTTCATCATGCTTTTAAAAACCTTTACACTTCATAGGATGTTATCGACTTTCAATAACTATCTTTGCAAATACCACTAAATAATCCTACATTATCAGTTTATAAACATTAAAAAGTTGATAACCAAGTTGTCACAACTACTTAATCATTATAGATTAATTCGATGAAAACATATTTTGTGCTAAAATGGTTAAGCAGCAGCTGTTTTTTGATACTTTAGGGTAAACTTTGTTCACCGTTGACAGAAACCCTACAAAAACCATACGTGCTACACCCTTTTTCTTGCAAAACCTGGTAAATATCGATAATATTTACGATGAAAGCAGCTTTGGTCAACACGAAGAGAAACCCAAGAACCACAAGATAAACATGTGTACCCCAAATGTCTTTCGAAGGTCTTTACTAACTAACTACGTCATGGGACATACCAAAAGAGAATATTACAATAGTCCAAACGAGAGCTTTGTTTTTCTGTTTTTTTTTTTTCGTTTAGTTTAAGATAACGAAGAGCCTGGTGCAAGCTGATAACTGAGATGAACATCGTTTGTGGGCGTTTGGTTACAAAGGAAGTTAAAAATGAGTAATATTTTTTTTTGCATTTATTTGATATTGAGATACCCTGATGGTTGTTCGAAATTAATACACAAAAAGCTTTTGTGTTTCGTTTATTTAATGTTCTTTCGAGGACTTTCGGGTACAATAAGCTTTTAATTCTTGTTGATTAAGTGGATTGTTGTGGACCCCTACTTTTATTATATTCATTTATTAAGAAAAATTTAATGAGTCAAAAATGTTTTGAAATCATCTTCCAGTAAAAAGATTTCATTATTATAAAAAAAAAAGTTTACGTTAACACAAAAAAGATCAAACACCATTGTTATTTATGTCATGTTTATCTTATGATGATGATGTTTAAAACATGAATACATGTATTGACTTTTTCGATTTGTCAAGATATGTACACAAAAAAATGGTATATAATAAGGAACGTGAAACGAGGTCTTTGATGTGAACACGACTTTAGCGTAACGAACACCCAAATAGTGAATATTATTTACATTAGATAACAACTTTAATTTTTATTTTTGTTACCTTTTGGTCTGCTGAATGCTTTCATTGTTTTAATTCCCATCCCTGATGAGTCGACGTACATGTATATTGAATATATTGACTAGATTTGAAGCACATTAAAAAGAATTAAATCACTTTTAGATTTTGACTTTTTTTTGGAAAAAAAATCAAATTTGTCACTTTAAGTCACATTTACTTAAATTTAACTTTAACTTCTCAAATTGTTTTCATTGTCATCACGTGGAATGGATTGATTTCACGTTTATTGTCATTTTTCTTTAGTTCTTGTGATTAACACTTTTTCACATCGCTAATTTTCTTAATGGAATTTAATAAATATCCCAAAAACAAAAAACAAAAAAAAAATCAGTTGTACGGCACTGTTTTATTGAGACGGCCCGTCAGTCACGTTTTAAAACATTAAAGACTCCGCTTATGACTTGGGGGCTATTTCGGTAACGGCACTCGAAATAGATTGTGGGGCCCCCGATTTAGAATAAGTAACAATAAATAACAAAAAAATTATTCCAGAAAATAATCGAAAAAATGATAAATTTAATTAAATTTGAGAGGGATTAAAGTTATCACTAATTTTTCACTTTTTTCGATAGTCCTTTTTTAATCCGCGCGCTTTTTTTTTTAAACTTCAACAACAACAAACAACGAAAACTACGTAGACACTCAGAAAAGCCGCTCGTTTTTCGAACTTCAGGACGCACCTGTACGCGTCGACGGGCGGAAAGAAGTGCGAGAGAGGCCCCACGATGTGATCGTGCGTGTGCAAGTAGCGCGAACGACTGCCCTTTCGGTCGCTAGACAAGGACCCACACTACTCCGCATCAAACACAGGCCCCTCTTTCCTCCCTCCTCCTCTCAAAACAGCGGAGGTAGAACTTATGAATGAACGCGTAGCCTCTCTCGGGGTTCGCCTCCTCCATTGCTGAACGGATCAAGTGGGCCGTGAGAATTTGTACAACGACGACGCCGTCGTCGAGGAGCCCCCCTCGGAAGTTTAAAAACGACGAGCCCCCTCCTCTCTCTCTTTAATATACGCGTCTCTCACCTGTTCGCCCAAAAAAAATCTCGATTCTTCCCTCAACCAAATTCTTTTTAGCACATTCCAAAACTTAACTTAGCTTTTTGTACTTTCAAAACTGGCCTTTAATTAAATAAGAAAATCTTACTAGTTTCGGCTAATAGCCATCTTCACACACTAGTTTTGCATCACTAAAACTAGTCTCTGAAGATGGCAATTAGCCGAAACTTGTAAGATTAACCTTTTTGACCATTTTTGAAAGTACAAAAAAGCTATAATATTTATTAAACTAAAACTAGAACCAACACTAGCACTATCACAAGAACTAACACTAGACCTAGAACTAGAATCTTTCGGGTTAAGCCGTGCGTTTTTTGAAAAAATGTTTGACGTTTCGGATGCCATGTCGCAACCTTCTTCAGAAACAAGTTCGAAGTGCTAGTGTTAGTTCTAGTTTTATCTAGTTACTTATAGCTATAATATTTGTGTTTTTTTATTCTAATTTTATTTTAATTTATCCCATTTTAGTTCATATACTTTTATATATAAAAAAAAATCCAATTTTGTTATCACACAACGAGATAAACTGAGCTGTTCATTCATAAATTCGTTTAAGGCGCTTAAACGTCCTTCGTTTGTTATCTAATCGATTGTTAAGAGGAGAAGATGATTTGATCTTGATTAAAACTCACGTTCATTCATAAATTTTTTCATTAAATACCGAGAATCGATCGAAATAGTATTTTTAATATTGAAAAACAAACTTGTTAAAATATCGATGATCACGGCTGAGATAAAAATGTGATTAAAAATATTTTATTTAGGAAACACGTTATAAATATTGTTTATTATCTGTTTGTTGCTAACTCCGTAATAATTGTTTAGGTTTCGATAAAAAAAATTTTGTGGGCGTTGGACTTTGATTTTAATTAAATTAATCCGAATTAATTGGTATTATGAGCAATAAGCCACCATAAATATAACCTTAATTAATTTTAGGTAATTTATATTTAAAAATATAATAATTTATATGTTGCAACAATTTAGTAATTCATTTATTGTACCAAAAATAGGTCAGAACAAGCTTAAGTGTTAGTTATCTGAACAACAATTGTAACTTTTTAACCTAAAAACAACAATAAATACCTCAATAAAATCATAATCTAAAATAAACAAGCAATAAAAACGAAAGAATAAATACAACCTCTTTTGAAAATCATTTTAATCGAAAAAAAAAATCATCTAAGACTTAAAATGTTTATAGGCTATGACTGTACAATTTTCACACGTTGTACTTTTTTAATAACATTAAAATTTACATACAAACAAAGCTGTGTTGTTTCACTTTAACTCGTTTTACGTCACTATTAATAGTATATGTACGAATAAAGCAAAAAGACGTCAAATAATTTATGTTAGGCTTCATTTTGATGTATTATTCTAATAAGTTATCCTAATTTATTTAATTTTGATGAATGTTTAGCTGGACACAGTCGAATATCTAATATTTAAGACAGCCAAGAATATACTCAAACATTTTTATACATAAAAAAACTTTGTTACACGTCCATGAAATGACAACAGCAATTTACACTATCTACCAATAAGTATTTGGGCTCCTTAGTATGTTTTTTGATAGTCTTTCAAAAAGTGATAGTTTTTTCACCTATTTCAAATGGTATTGCACCTCAAATCGGCAATCCAATTCGTCCCAAATGTTCTTAATCTGAGCAGGCCAGTCCATTAATTACCAACGTACCAATTGATGGTGAACCTTGCAACATAACAGCTAACGTTATCGTCCTCAAAAAATCAGACCATAATCCCATCTCAACCGAACTTTACTGCTAGCACACTGCATTCGGGCAGGAAACGTTCTTCAAGCCCTGTGCCATCTGAACGGTAGTGACTTAATCTTGATTGGTCGTTATCTATGGTCCATTATCAACATGTTTTATAAAACATTAACCGAGCAGCTCGGTTAGATATGGTGATCAAAGGCTTATGAAGAGCTGTACTACCATTAAAACCAAGCAGATGTCCTTAGGTTGGAAGCACTTGTCGGTCTCTATCTCCCAGTTTTATGGGTCTGCGTATTCGGAGAACATTCAGATAATCACCGCTCGCCCATCAACTTCTGAATAACATAGACTGTCGATTTTAGGTTATTCAACTCGCTAGATAATAGTCATTTCCTGCACAAACACAACAAAATTCATGTGCAAGTCGAGTTAAGTGTGTCACTTTTGGATAAAATGTTTGGATTTACTATGTAGAGAGCAGTATCTGGTACGAAGAGTAAAATCATGTCTGTATTGCAAAATCTTGCTTTAGTTTAGTCTTATATACATAGTCTTAATGCAATAGTTTGGGGAATAGTAGATTAGACTTGCCTTATCAAGTACAGCTGTACTTAAAGCAATCAGCTCATCATGATTCATAATACCAATGATGACATTTGCGACATATTCGTCCCATCTATTATTTTGAAATCCATAAGAATTTTTAATGCATCAATGCATTAAGAAAAAATACTCCCCGTACAAGTAACGCTATGAAATACTTTTGCTCAAAGTTATAAATAACAAGTATATTTAAAAAATGAATTTGAAAATTCAAATACCCAGTACAAAGTAACATTTGAAACTGTGCAAGATGAAGTAAACAAATATGGTTTTAGAATGAAACAGGTTCTTAAAGTTACAAAGTTACTCATTTCTAATTCAAGTGATAAAAAGAAAATCTAAGAAAAATTAAAAAAAGGAAATAGCAACCCCGAACTAAGGTCAGCTATCTTGAACGAAATTTGTCTTGGCTATTCTTTTATCAGACGTATAAAAAATATATACAGTTGCATATTGTTTGTTACCATAATAATAATACATAAAATCCTTTAGTACAGGTGGAAATCATGAAATTACTTAATGTGTACAAGAATCCAGCTCGTATATGTTTGAGAACAGAGACTGCTTGTGAAGCAGATCAACTGAAACGTAACCCAACTCAACTCAACTCAAACCAACCTAACCCAACCCAACCCAACCCAACCCAATCCAACCCAACCCAACGTCGACTAGTAATAATAATAAACTTCGGAGTACGATGAAAAATTATTTATTTCATTGTATTTGGTATCGGTGAGTTGTGTAAATTTAATTCGAATGTTCCAACAGCACGTAATTGCCTTTAAGGTGTTGAAGTGATGAAGTTTTATGTTTGATGAATGTGTATTTATCGCCAAGGTACAAAGAATATACTCAAATACTCCATCATACATCCTATACCTCCTTCAATAATTCATCAAATATTTATGGTAAATGATTTTGAAACAAGTTTTTTCAGTTTGTAAAGTTTTAGTTGTTATTTAGCGTTAGATGGTTACATATTTTTCATTGAACTCTAAGTAGAACTAACACTAAACCTAGAACTAGAAACATTTGGGTTTAGCCGTACGTTTCTTAAGACGGCTAAACTCGAATGTTTCTAGTTCTAGTTTTAGTTATTATATCGAGGTTTTATTGTATTAGGTTTTAGATGATTGTTTTAAATTTAATTTCTTTTCATTTTAAATTAATAAATGTTTGTGGTGAAAAAATGTGCAACAAAGAAATTTTCTAAAACGTCCACCGTACTATTCTTATTTATTATTCATACACACAAAAAAAAGGCTTACAACGTCGTCTTAGCAATAAAACGAAGAAGTGCCTTGCATTTTAAAGACTATGTAAGTAGATAAAGATGAATGAATTGCTAATGTTTTCATTCATGAATCGTAAAAGCAGCAAATTTTTTTAAACAATTCTTTATTAATAAAATTTATGAAGAAATAAAATATGATGCAAGAGGTTTTTTTTAGAAAAACAAAGCCTTTTGGTTCCTTTTTTTTGGTTTGCTTTCTATCCCTGGGCACTCAATGGGTTTCTTTGCCGATGGTTTGAAGAGAAGGAGCTCAGGTAGTAGTCTCGACGCAGGTCTTACGTTACTTCCGGCCGATAAGGGCGCAGGCACCTTCGTCGGCTTGCACTCCCTATATGCTGGTTTCCGGTGGGGCCACCCTCGCAACTCTACACGTCGTTAGCGACGTGTGCGTGTCTGGTGTACTAAATTTCGAAACTGGGTTACGTTTTTTCTATTTAGAGGGGTTGAAAAAAATCGTTTTTTTTTAAATTTTTGCTTTAAGTTTATTTTTCTTTTAGTTAGGGAAGGTCTTGTATTTATTCGTTAACGTAAATAGTTGAAGACGTAACCAATTTTTGTTTTGTTTATTTTAAAGTTTAGAAAACATAAATTATTACCTTAACCATGAAAAATTTAACAAAAAAGACTCTTCTGGTACATTTTCAAAGAAAACGGAAAGAAAGTTTATTGGTGGCGACCCTTTTAGAATGGGTCATTAGACCTAAGTATTCTTGTAAAAACGCAACAATACAATGAGGTTTAACATTTTTTTTTCTACAAATTACGCTCAAACCCCGCCGAGTGACCTTTTTTTACCTGAACCTTAAATTTTAAAGATCTGATTTTCAGATTATCTCGTATCAAAGAAAACACAGGTAATGTTTTCAAAATACCTGACACGACAATTTTTATCAGATAATATTTTTATTCCTACAATTTTATAATTCACCGAACTAAATCATTTTTTAAAATCGTTAAGCCTTTTATTTGGATACACGCGTCACTTTATTATACTTAAAGACCCTTGAAATGGAAATCATAA